TAACATGTTTCTTTATGACATATGTGCATCATAGTAGCTTTCTAATTATGTAACAGAATTTTCTTCCTGAGCTTTTCTCTTTTACATCTACAAACATGGTAGAAGCGTGTACAGCTTTGGCCGGAAAAGATTAGCTGTCTGATTGAGAATCATTCCAGTAGCCCTGGCCATGCTGATGAACATATAAATCTAATTTCATGGAAGCTAGCGGTCTGAGTGTGCAATTAAATTGGCATCAACAGAGTTGGTTAATAGTAACGCATACCAGCATTAATTTTGCAAGTGATTATTAGATTTGTTTTTTAATTGTCTCTCCAGGGAATTACTTGTCCAGGGTACTTTGTTCTGAAGATGCATGATAAGAACTCCTGACTGTGGAGACTTTATTTCAGGACTAAAATTAAATCCTACTTAGTGTATGGTGGATTAACGGTCATAGAAAGTGTTCTTCCCCAGTCAGTACCCAGCACATCATTGCTGCACAGTAACTAGAGTGCTACAGTGACGCTTTCAGGCCTGATGCTTTCTTTTTTTAGAGATGTGACTTTAGAAACGAGAAAGGAAAAAAAAAAGATGAGTTTGAGATAAAGCAGGCTTCATGTAGTCCCAGCATAGCCTCTATTTTTAGCAGGATGCTTTGCTCACACTTACATGGGTTCTCTAACTACTGAGACAACTGCTGTTGGAAGGCTTGACTGGATGAGCCTGGGAGAGGGCTGGGAAGGAATGCACATCAGGTCAGCAAGCGTTTTCATCTAGTTGTAATAAGTAAAACAATAGCTGAAGCTGCATTGCCCCGTGTTCCTTCCCCCAGCACAAAAGCTCTTCAGGAAGGGCAGTTGCCTTGTGGGACGCTGTGTCCTGGGTGAAAGCACATGCCCTGGCTTTATGGCAGACAGTGTCCTTGTAATTCTTTGATCTGATTTGGCTGTGGCTTTTCAGAGTAAATCTGAATCATTCTGTTCTCAGCTGTTAAGGTGACATTGTGGCACGCAGAAAGTTGTAGGGGGCTTATTAATACTCTGTGTTTAGAATCAAAAGTCCAAACCGTGCACAGACAAGGAAACAAGTGTTAGTTTATGACTTAAAAGTCCTATCCTAGAGTTTTGAAGTGTTTCTTGTAGAACCGCCCGCTGTGATATCCAGTAAACTTTAATGCTCAGGAGACATGCTAGTGAGCTTGACTAAAAGGGTAAAGCTTTAACAGCGCTCCATCTATGGCCCGGAGAGATTACTTTATGCTGCACACGCATACCATCGTTCTCAAATAAACACAGCCGCTTTTGTGAGAGTGTGTGTGCACGCACGCTTGTATTCTGATGAAGGCAACTCTGTACAGTGTGTGGAGAATGACTTCTGGCTTTGTGTAGGTGCCAGCTTCAGTTCAGTGCCTCAGTCCAGAATAGTGGATAGTGATTGCAAAAGAGTCGCTGCTTTAAAGGGATCAACTTTAGTGGTTTTATCGTGAACAAACGTGGTGGGCAACACAGGATCTGGAAGATGAATGAATTTGCTGTTGCAATTTTTAAAGGCTCTGAAGCATCATGTAGAGTCATCCATGTTTGATTTTTGTGCACCTTAAACATGCATAGTTGCCTCATGGAGATGTTCTTGAAGAATGTTTTCCCTTTGTCTATATAATAGTAATTCTATGTGCATCTGGGATAATTTGAAAAAAGATAAAAAGTGCTTTGTTTCGATTTTTGCTCTCGTTTACACTACCTGTCTCATTTCGCAGGTGGCCGCATCTGCTCTTTCTCCCCCTGCATCGAACAAGTCCAAAGAACCTGCCTAGCGATGGAAGAACATGGTTTTACAGAGATTAACACCTTGGAAATTCTGCTCCGAGTGTACAACGTAAGGACAATTAGCTTGCAAATCCCTGACCTTGGAAAAGCAGCTGAGGATAATTCTAGCACTGGCTTTGACAGCAGCAACCCATCAAACCGAGGTAGCCCGAGCACTAATCTGCAGCAAGGAACTGTGCAGTTCAAAAGCGGGATGCCGCTCAGGGAGATGGTCGGTCACACCGGATACCTGACCTTTGCCACCAAGAGCCTGTTTTAGTACACGTTGAGTTTGTGCAGTTCGGAGTGGCTTGTGTGTTTGTGTGTGTATTCTGTTTTCATGGTTCTTTTTTGTAGAGCATCCAAATTTTTACTTGTCAGGGAATTCCATATATAGTCAGATTTGGTTGGAATATGCTTTTGTTTAAATAGCACACAAGCATTAACCAGAGCGGCATTAAGGGAATGTTGAAGCTCTGGAATGGTGCTCTACTTGCCGTCAGGAAGAAGATAAATTAATAGTGAATGGCCATTCACTGGAATGTGCAGAATAAAGATCTCTCCTGATAAGAAAGCAAAACAAACAGCACACTAATTGCAAATAAGTTGGATTTTTTTCCTCCTCTTTTCTGAATCACTTTCCCAGGTTTATGTTTTTATTTTTTTCTAGCACCACTAGACACTTTTTTTAAAAAAACTTCTCTAGTGTCCGTGTTGCTCGTAGGAATACGAAAGTGCCTACTTGCTTCATTTTAGATACGAAAGTTGCGAGGTCATAGGGTTGCCAGCGTGACTGATAGCAGAATTAGCGTTTCCTTGGAATAGTGTTTGGCTGCACAGAGGATTATTGGCAGTGCTCAGGAACACAACCTCTCACTCCATTCCAGGCTGGCATCTGCAAATCATTTAGATTACACAGAGGTCAAAGAAGTGTGCTAATTGTTGGATTTGGTTTAAAATAATATATCATGCTCATATAATTTATATTAGAAATTTGGACCTGGATTCGTACTTTATTCTTCTGATAGATCATCCGCTTCCACAGTTGATGAATCCACTGACAAAATTCACTGTACAGCTGGTTAATATTATCTGAACACCTCTTGGTAAGCGGTGTGGCCGAGGTTCCATTCGTTGGGTGTTTTATGTGCATTGTGGTGTACTGTCTTCCTGCAGCTGAATGACAGACTGCTTTTGGCAGGGTTTCTGTCTCCAATTTGCAACAACAATGCAAACTTAGTAAAATCCTCAACCAGCTTTATTAATTAAATTTTCAGACCATTTACTCTTTGGTCTTCCATACAAAGCTGGTGGGTGTGATGAACTCTTTGAATGCTGGATTTTATTTTGTATTTACAGATTAAAATAATTATGCAAATTTACAAAGTTCCTTCTTTCTTTTCTTTTTTAATGTATTCACAAATATTTTTATTCCAGCCACTAGTAGTGTTTCTGGAAGCATTTATCTGTCCCTTGCATTTGGTACCTGAATATATTGATTGCCATGTGAGAAAAATAACCATTCATAAACTGCTGCCTGAACATTTGAACCTGATACCCCTCCCCCATTCTTGACAAAAATAAACAAAGCTAAGCTTTTAACGTGTTATAGCAGAACGCTAATCCATAACAGTTTAAAGACAGCTCAACCGATCACGGCAGCAGAGATAAACTGTTGAGCAGATTAAAGGCAGAAAGCAATTCTGTTGAACTAAATCAGTTACATAAGTTGGCCTACAACTGTAGCAGTTCTCCAGAAATTATGTGAAAGTTCTGTTTCTCCTGCTGTTCATGTCCTCCAGAAAGGTGTGCAGTAAGCTGTTAACACTGTTTCTGTGGTTTGGAGGCTGTATTATAGTGGTGTGCTTGCACGTGTGTGCATACGCACATGTGTGTGTGCTTAAACCACCACCATAGAAGTAGGGCTACGGTACTAACGTAAACCAGAAGAAAGGATGGGGAAATACAAAGCTAATGCTACAAGGTTGTTATTAACTTCCTTCAAGGTGATTCTCATTCACTAACAAGCGGGATGCCCAGTCTTCACCAGGGATAATTCAGCCCTAGACTTGATTCTTTTTTCTCGACAGACTTTATTTTAAAATAGTGTAACGTTTAAACAGGATTAAAGAGGAACGAAGTCACGTTTCTGTCCTACAAATAAGATGTGCAATGGAAATACCAATGTGTCTTCATGGAGCTTGAAACAAGGCTGATGCCTTTTTGCCCACAAAGCCCAATTCAGAACCCTTTGAAATAAGCCATTGACTTTGCATGTTCCCATATTGATTTGATCCCTGCTGAGGAAGGACAGGCATTGCGTAAGAGGGGAAGGATTTCAGTTCTGTCCTTGCAATATTAAAAAGGCTTCTGTGTTTTTGTTGCCAATCACAGCCGTGGCCAGCAGCACCACACTGCTTCCTGCTGTTGCTTTGTTGTCAGGGTCACAAGGAGGATCCCACACTGTCCAGCGTGGACAGTACTGTGCTGCCAGAACCCCCAACTATTTAGTTTTGCTTATGATCACCTGTGTTTTATGTTCTGGCCACATTCCCTGCCAAAAGTGGTAAATCAGAAACATGGGTCTTTGCTGTCGCACTAGGGGAACATGCCCAGGCTGTGCTTTCAAGGACTCCTTTCTCTTTTTAATACGTTCTAGTCTTCAGTCTGGAATGAAACATCACTTCTTCCTGCCCTGACACAGTTTGGTGACACGTTGGCAGGCTGCACGTTTTTGCTGCTGCCATGCACTTGGATCCCTCAGTTGCTGTGGACAAGGGCCAGTACACAGCTCTGCTTCACAACCGGGTTCAGCTTGTCCCATTGTGCTCCATGTCTATGAGCTAGCGTGGAGAGCGGTCTCAGACACTTTGCAACCTACACGGCAAATGGCAATGAGGAAGGTGAGACTTGTGAAACACTTGGGAGGTCTGCTGCTGTTCACCGTTTACCTGTGCTTTAATTAAAGCGTTACAGATCTGTATCTCATTGTGGTTGTTGCCTGCTTACCTGTTAGCACAACACTTTTCCTCTGAAGGAGATGTGATTGTAAATCCTGCTTCAGAACCTTACAGGGATAAAGTGGCCAAAACGCTAGGAACTCACTCGTCTGCTTCCTTTCCTGCTCTGTCTTCTCCTTAGGTACTTTGGGATACGTGATGGTGAGGAGATGGTTCTTCCTGGGAAGTGTTCCAGAGATGAGGGTTCTGGTTCACACTCACTCCCTTGAGAGTACATCTGTGCTCCATTAGTCCTGGTCAACTGGATGACTGCGGAAGTCATGGTGACCTAGAAATGAGGGGGCCCAGAGATGCAGCGAGCCTAGATCTACATGTGAATACCAGCACGCATCCCAGCAGAGTCCGCATCATTTAGGTGGGCAAGTGCACTGGGCAGCCCTTGTGTTCGTGCCTTACCAGGTCCTTCTGGACAGAGACTGGAGAAAACTGTGCCCTCCTGGGCTGCAATCCAGTGGTGTTCGGCGCTCCCAGCTCACCTCTGGTGCCAGCGGGAGCGGTGCAGGCTCAGAAAAGGAGGGTTGAGAACTGGCTGGGCTCCATCTCAGCTTCTGCTTGCGCAAATACGAGAGAGGCGCACGGTAAGAGCTGAGAGGGAGAGTCAGCATTGCATAACCATGATGTTACACCGAAGGTACGCGCAGCTGTGACTAGAAGGGGGTTACTCTAGTACCAGAAAGTTCTGTCTGTGTCACCATGAGGAAAAGCATTTACGTGCTGCTGGCCTCTCGAGTGCTCCTGAGGACTTGTGTTGTTCAGATGCCAAAAGAGGGGAGCCAGATTGTGTTATTTCCTTTCTCTCTACGTGACAGCTTCTGAACTGGAATGAATCTGCATCAGTATCAACACAGGGAACAAATAAACCTTGAATTAAATAGTCAAATAAAAATAATCCTCCTCCCTGGTATCCAGCCCTTTACCTGCATATCTGGCCCAGGAGCTCTGTGTCCCTTTGTAGACTGTTAAGGACGTGCTGTTCTCCTCTGCTGGAGGGTAACAGCTTTGAACTCTGAGGTTGGCTGGCTGATACGCTGATAGAAATAAATGCAGAAGCCGGCTGGGAACACCGGCCGGGGGGGCATCTCACTGTACCTGCCTGGTTCTGGCTGGCTGCTAAGGTAGATCGCCCACAACTGGGCTTCCCTTGCCATGGAGCGGTCCCTTCTCGTCATCTCCCCCCTTCCGCCCTCGAACCCAAAGCCATCAGACACACTGCTAGCATGCACCAGCTCTTCCTGGCGCTCCAAAGTCACTCAGATTGCACAGCCAGGTTTTTGGCAGAGGAAGGCATTTCCTCTTCTATTTACTGGCCTCCAAGGTGGGGAGAAGGGCTGGTTTTTGCCACCCCATCAGGACGTGCAGCCGCAGAGGCTCTGTGGGTACAGATGCTGCCCGGGGCTGTGGTGAGAAGCCGCCTGAGAGCTCCGGGCCCTGGGCACCCTGTGGGAGCGATGTGCTGCCATGGCAACAGCACAGCATCATTCAAACCCCTGAAGACCTCAGCCTGAAGTTATTTTGGTGGGGGCTGAGTGGGTTGATGCTAAATATCGTATTCCTTTATAGTTCTTAAGAGGGCGATTTGCATGAATGGTTCCAGTGGAGCTGTGGAGAAACTTTCCCCAGGGGTCCAGGTAGCTGCAGGAAATGTCAGAGACCAGGACCACGTGAATTCAGAGCTACTGCTCCCAGGGGTGCTGGCTGAGCAGTCAAAGCTACGCAAGTAGAGGAAGGAGTTTTTTCCATCTTTTTCTGATAGCACCGATACTGTTTCAGCACGAAGCCCATACGCATGACTAGTTCTAGTCACCTAGGAGAAAATCTTGCTTTAGCAACCTCCCTTTGTATTAGGCACCATAGGGGAAGGGGATGTCTGCAGTGGGATTTTCCTCTCTCTCTCTCTCTTCTGTTGCTTTGGGGGGGCTGTAGTCCCCCATTCCTTCCTTGAGTCAAAAGTAAGTTAGCAGTAGTTACTCCTAACACAGATGTCTGGGACTCGGCATGGCTGGTCCCTGGTCATGTGGAATTAAAGTTCGTGATGCTAAAATATTCTGAGCCAGAAGTTACTTTATTCCTCTTCTGAGGGGTGAAGACGATGACGAGGTTGTAGGCTACGTGGTACTTTTTACATTGGTCCCCCATGCCCTTAGAAATTGTCCATAAAGCACTATTTCAGAATAATAATACAAAGAAAAAAAATGAAGTGCCACCTATTCTTAGGAATCAGCTGAATATGAGAACCAAATTTGCTTGGAGGAAGAAGTGGAAGAAGCAGGTAGGTAGAGAATGATTTCTGGGAGAAGGCGCCTCCTTTCCTGGCCTTTTGCAATGAAGAGACAATTTCCCAGCGGGTTCCAGCTGCTCCCCTTAAAAGTCATGGATCAGACTTTAGCGAGAGTGTCGGTTCCATCGGGCTGTTTTAGCAAGGCGTGTAGGCTGGGATCTACAACTGGTGCAGTGGAAAAGAGGGAGGGAGAGGAAAGGAGGGAGGGAGAGGAAAGGAGGTCTAAATTTTAAAGTGTCTGCAGTCAGCTCAACCTGTTGAGTTACATGTACATCGTGTCGCGCTGTTGTTACAAGAGTCGCAGTATAGTCTATATTATTTTACCAAAATATACGATATA